GCGGCTGTCACCCGCGAATTATCTCGCGATGTTTCGCGGGTCGGGGCCGCCGGTGGTACCTGCGAATTGTTTTTGGATTCGTTTAAAAATATGTGGGCGCACCGCGCCCTCGTCATCGCAACCCACCGATGGTGGGTGCGACGGCATCCGACTGGTGGTCGTCGGGAACGATGCTTTACGGGGTGCATCGTTACAATTGATTTCGAATCTCGATTACTTCTTCCTTGCTGTTTGCACCTGTAATGAGGTCGTCGACGTAAAAGTCCCTGCATGCTATTAATGATCCTTTCGGGAATGAGTGTACTTCCAATTTTGCTAGTTGTTGTATCACCTTCGTAGCCACGAATGAAGCCGATGATGTTCCATATGTTAGCGTGAGTAGCTCATATGTTTCAATGTTGTCTGATGTGTTTTCTCTCCATAAGATCCTTTGTAGTTTGTTCTTCCATGTTGCGAATTTGTCTATACATCTTTTTAAAATCTCCCGTCAACACGTAATCGTATGTTCGAAAGAGTAGCAACATTGACAGACCATCCTGCTGTAGTACTGGACCTACCATAAGTGCATTATTCAGTGAAATGCTGCTTGTAGTCTTGCTCGAAGCGTCGAAGACTACTCTCAATTTTGTACTGCTATGTTTGATGACACAATGACGTGGCATGTAGAAGTGAGTTATCTCCTCATTGACAGGCTCTTTAAGCTTGCGCATATGTCCTAATTCTTGATATTCGCGCATAAACTTATTGTATTCAAGTCTGCATTGAGACTTTCGTTCTAGTCTTCTTTCCAAGCTGTGCAATCGTTGTGTCGCGATATCTCTTGAATGCCCCAAATTGTTGAGAACGTCCGTCTTGATTGGTAACGTTATGATGAATCTACCGTCCGGATCTCTCTTGTAAGTTTCGTTGAAGTGGTTTTCGCATGCACGCTCTTCTGATGTTCTTGTGTTCATCCTGTTGCAATTTTCCTACTGCCAGAACTTCATAAGATTGCTATTTAGCTGCTCATTGACGGACAGGCTACAGGTGATGACCTGATTAGATTTTGCATCGTTGCTAATCCGCCGGAAACGATCCATCCTAATCGCGTCTTCTGCCATGTTGGCTGATTATCTGCTAATTTCATCCTGCCGATACACAATAGATCGAAGAACACGTCCGCCCCTAATAACAGATCTATTCTTGATGGTTGATTGAATTGTGGATCCGCTAGTACGATACCCTTTGGAACTTGAAGCTCATTTCTGCTTATTCCATTGGTTGGAATATCCTGAGTGATATTCTCCACGACCAGACAATCTAGTTCCCTCCTGTAACTAGTCGTTCGCGAATGTATAATATGATGATTGTCGCGATGCTTCTTGTTTGTATAGATTGTTTTCCGATTCCGCATATCGGAATATTCGTATCTCGGGAATCAAGTCCTAACTCCTTGAAACAATCTCTCGTGATAAAACAGGACTGAGATCCGTTATCTAAGAGTGCTCGAATTGATTTGACGTCTCCCTTTTTATTTAGTATTATACATTTACTAGCGCAGTTGTTAATAGAACTTGATGCCCGTGATTAACCGCTGCGTTATTTGCAGTTACTGTTTTCGTATTTTCCGGATCGTCAATCTCCTCCTTCTTGCTATCGGAATCAGATTGATTCTTTGTTGCTTGTTCCAAATGTAACAATGTATTATGACGTTTGCTACTTTTCCGACATGTTCCAGAGGTACATTCCTTCGCTATATGCGATGCGGTTCTTAGGCAATTTAGACACAATTTGTGTGACTTGGCTTCCTTAATCCGCTGCTGGACGTTGAGATCCAAAAAATCTTTACACTTGTAAGTGGCGTGATATTCCTTCCGGCAAAACTCATATGCATTCTTGGTGATAGCTACGTGAGCCGTAGTGCTCTTACTGCGCGCCGTTTTGTCCTTGGACAACGGATCTGAAGTTTTTGGTATGCGTGATGTCGCTTCAAAGGTTCTGCATCGTTAATTCAAGAAATCAATCAACTGTTCGAAATCCGGAATCTTACCTCGCTTTATAGTAGTCTGCCATTCTCTGTATGTCAATTGATCTAATTTGCTTGTGACCATATATATCAGTAGATCATCCCAGTGATCAGTAGGCTTTCTGAGAGCCGTTAGTGCACGGATGTGCTTAAATACCGTATCCAATAGTTTCCGTAGCGTAGAATGATTGTCCTTGCTCATGGTTGGCAAATCGAATGCCTTCACGTGGTTTTCAATGATAAGCCCTGGATCATCGTATCTGCTCTTTAGCATTTGCCAGGCTTCTTTATAGTTCTTCGCCGAAGCTTCTAAAGAACTAATTACATCGAAAGCTTCTCCCTTGAGAGACGATAATAAGTATTGCATCTTCTGCACGTCGGGTAACGTCGCGTTTTGCTCAATCATGCTGTGGAACATTAAGGAATGAGATCCATTCATCAAATTTGCTAGAGAAAGTGGGCATACGAGGGTCGTCTGAAAAGTTTTGAGCCTAACATAGAAACAAGTAATTTTTCGGTCAAATTCAATTTTATTTTTCCACATAGTCTCCTTTTAAGTCGATACATTTTTTCCAGCGATGCTCCCACCCCTTTAATCCATTCAAATAATACTGAGCGTTTTGCTTTGCAAAATAGGCGTCTACGGATGCGATGACCTCCTCGTTCGATGAAAATTTCTGTCCTCCGAGCCAAACTTTGAGCCTAGGAAACAAAAAAAGATCGCTGGGGGCCAGATCTGGTGAATATGGTGGATGGTCAATTAATTCGAACCGCAATTCGTGAATTTTTGCCATAGCGACCGCCGAAGTGTGAGACGGTGCGTTATCTTGATGGAACAGCACTTTCTT